TTTATTCACATAACTAGTGCGTGGCCCGTACGATGCACGGGGAAACAATATTACGATTGTATTATAAATTAAATATATAAATAACATTAATCATGATTTACTCATTGTTTTTAAATTAAATCGAGTTGGACACAGTCCGGCCGGATGGACCGAGAATCGCTTTATAACCAGTCTACTTGCTTGTTTAAAATATTTGCTATCGAATCTGTCAACACCTGTCGGTTTGACTGGTAGGATCGATATCGATTTTCTAAATAAATTTGGTTACATTTAAAATTATTATAAATAAAATTACATATTCAAATAAAATAGAGATTTATAAACTCTTTATCGATTAGTTTAAATATTTGAATTTATAAATTGTTTAGATATTTAAGTATTTTCATTTATTTAAATTTATTACAAAAAGTATTGTATATATTAAAATATTTATAAATAAAAATCTGAACAAACCACAAATAATTTAATCAAATAACTTGATCGTTTTGATGACGGTCCAGTTCTGAAAACCTTATATTTACTGTACATTAATAAAAATTATAATAAAATATTATTTTATTTACAAAATTATTAACAAAATGATATATAAATATTTATAAATTATTAAGCATGTTGTCATAGAAATATTGTTATAATTAATATATTATTTGAAGTTTGGACTACATCACATTCACGTAATAAAGTATTTTCAATATTAAAATATTTTATGATTCATATAATAAATGTCTACACCAAATGATAGTATATTAAGATTATAAATTATATATCTAAAGATGAATTAATTATTTTAGTTTATGAATATTAATAAAAAGTGCCTCTCCTTTTAGTCGAGCATATGTTATAACCTCTCGCGTGGAGCTCGACTTCAAGGAGAGCAAAGACCCAAAGATTAATTATTTTTACTTTATGCATATTAATAAAAAATAAACATAGTAATTTTCTAAAAATTAAGATCAATTGATTGATTATGCATTTTAAAGAATATGTGTATTTTCAAGGAATAAATTCCTTCATATAAGGGATTTTGTTTCTTTAAACTATCCAAATTCATATTCATATCGGCAATTTGAAATTTTGAATTACAATAGAACACGACACTAATAAAATATCCTTTAACAAATAAATCAGATTCAATTTAAGATTTATTAGTTTTAAAAATAATAAAATCATTAATTTAGGCAATGATATGTGATACATATATCTAAGTCTATTTACATAATGTTTTACCATTAAACCATTGGCAATTTAAATAAGAAGACTAAATTTAAACAAAGAAAATAAAAATTTTCATCAATTTATAATAAATGTTGCCGTGTTTAATTTTTTGTTAACAAATAATTTATTTTTTATTAACAAATGAAAGCTGCCAATCAAAACAAATGCATTTGCCATTTTTTTGTTAAAAAAAGAAAGAAAGAAACGCGCTCGAGTTTATTCGATAACAGCCTTAGAAATTTGACAAAAGATCCAATAATTTATTTCCGACGAAGTAATCGCACTGTGTATTTGTGTATCCTAATAAAAAAATCTTATCGTACTGTGTATTTGTGTATCCTAATAAAAAATTCTTACTGCTTGCGGAACTGAGTGATATGGCCGTGGCAATAATTTTTTATTTAATTAGCCGAATCTTTTCTTTATTTAAAAATACAAAACTGTCAAATTTTATGTGGTCAACCGAATCTTTCCCGATAATGTGGTCATTAATATAACAAACTCCACATGGTAAGGATTGCATTTAATGCTGTCCGTGTTCTTAAATTAAAAATAAAAAAAATACCATTAATAGAAAGTAATTAATACTAAGCGTCTTTGACCATAGAAATGACCTGCCATTTTTAAAAAATGGTAATTCTTATTATATATATATAAATATAGATTATGTAAGAATATAAAATTAATTGGTGTCTTAAATTGAAAATTATAATGTAAAAGTATGTATTTAATTGAGAATAACTTAAAATTAGAAATCCTCAATCGAGAAAGTTGAAAATTCAAATCCTACTGTGGCACAATAGCAAAAAATCAAATCTTACAGTGAAGTTTATCTTTTCATTTTATATGTTAAAATTATTGTTCACTTGTTCTCATAGCGTATTAAATCAAAGTCCCACCAACTATGTTTAATATTTTGTTATATTTTAACCACATAATCACCATTCATTATGTGATAATTTCCTACAACTTCAGCTCGTTAATATATTAAATGGTGCTTACCTTTATTCATTCGTTTTTTTCTCGTGAAATTATTTTCAAAACTATATAAACCAAAAATAAAATAAAACCATCAATCAATTTATTATCATAAAGACGAACCAGTGGGGCCGATTCAAAACACCGAGGGTTTTCTGTATGCAGCCTTTTATCAGCTAATTTCAGCTCCATTTTTAGATCTATTAAATTTGGGCCTACTAAACTATCCCATTTAGCTCAATAGATGAAGCCTGGGAGGATTCTGGACTGGGCCGTTAGAAAATGTATGCCATAGTTGACTGGGATCACTCAAGGCCTACTATGCATGACTAATTAATTTTGTGTCCGTACTTAATTTTCAATATAATTAATATTTAATATCCAAATTATATCTCCATTACCATATTTTAGTTTTAATTTGCACGGACAAGTGCAAAAGATACCTCGTATCTTGAATCTTTCAACTGCATATCAATACCCTAAGCAGAATCTTTTCTTTCTAATCAATATTTTATATATTAGAAAAAATTCTACAGTGTTTCATATTTTATTCAACACATGAAGAAAATTTTTCGAACACAAGGTCGTCTAAGGCCAAATCAAGCAACTTAAAGGTGTCCTGTTAATAGCTTACACAAAAATCAAATAAGT